TCCCCCTCCCCCCTCCCCCTCCCCCTCCCCTCCCCCTCCCACTCCCCCCTCCTCCTCCTCCTCCCTCCTCCTCCTCCTCCTCCTCCTCCTCCTCCTCCTCCTCCTCCTCCTCCTCCTCCTCCTCCTCCTCCGCCGCCGCCGCCGCCGCCGCCGCCGCCGCCGCCGCCGCCGCGCACTGTATCGCCATAGCTAGATGGTCGCATAGAGCGGCCCACACAACGCCCCCCAGGCGTCGCTCTCCCTCCTGCGCGCGCGCGCACGCGGAGCATGCAGGGCAGCACCACTAACCAGGACCAGGCGCCACGCGCAGTGTAGCACGAATCTCCAATTCGGCCACGTCGTCGGGGGGGTGATCCAGCTGCGCGACGTACAATGACAATGATACGGGCAACCACGTACTTGTTGCACGTCTGCAGTGCTGGACGCCCAGAACGGCGCGGCCCCGGCGTTGGCAAAGTTAAGTTCCAGCCCCAGCACCGATGCACGAAATATTTGTTTCGCCTCTCGGCGCCAAGATCGCAGCACCATCGCCGCGTCGTCTGCGAATGCCCGCACAGTTGCAGTTGAGCGCCGGTGAGCAAGAACCCGTAGCAGCCCGTCCGATGCAAGAGCGAACAACAGTGGCGATGGGGGGCACCCCTGTCAGATGCCAGCCGTCATGGGCACGCATGAACACATCAGTCCGCGCACCATGAGAATACCCACCGCGTTGTGGTACAGCGACTCCTAAACTCCCACTGCAAAGCCCAACAAACTTGCCACCGCCGCAGAGGCCATCAAATACGACCGGGAGATGTTGGGGAAGGAGGCGGCGAAGTGGAAGAGGATGGTCACTGCGCCCCCGTCGACTAAAGACGCCAGCATCGCCTCACGATCGTTTCCTACCACATGGCGAAACATCGACCTCCCCTGGTAAAAATCCGCGCTGGTCAGTGCTGACAGCAGGAGATATGATCGGCGCCCACCGAATCCTGCAAACATGAACGATGATGTGACTTTCCGTGCTTGTGATCGACAGTGGGCGCGTTGACCCCGCCCTGTAAGCATTCGCGCCATCCTCCCGGACGACCGTGGGCTGCTTTGGCGGGCAGACCCACACAGATTCGTTGAAAGCGGCGTGCTCGGTGACCCTCGTCTCGAGGTCCCCTTCCAAGAATCGCCCAGCCTCCCATAGCAAAGGTGTCCCCAGATTCCTTAGCCGTCTCCACGCCCCGAACGGGTTGCCGACTGGACCAGTTCTGGGGTCTTTCGCTACGCGCAATGCCCGCCCAACGTCCCAGGCTCGTAGACTCCAAGCTTGCACGCCTGGCTCCACGCGACCCGCCCCGGCCTGCCCGGCAAAACCCGTGACCAATGTTCGCAAAGGAGGTCTGCGATGCACCCAGAGTCGACGCAGACCGTCCCATCCTCGGATTCCATAGCATGCAAGCTGTCATTTTGAGCCCTCTGGGCCAGTCTGGCCAGCCTGTTGTTGATGCTCTTGCGCTGGACTCGAGAACTGTGCTTGTCTACTATGTCCGCACCGGCTTGCACGTGCCTTATTTAGGGGGCAGAAAATCCACCCCGATAAGAACCACCCCGACTCGCGAAGCCGGTTAGTTAACGCACCCAAAGAAGGAATCAAACAGGGCAGGGCTGTTTAGTACATGACCAGGGCCGTTTAGTACACGCCAATTGTCCGGTCCGGGTGGTTTTTCCTCCCTTGATCATATCCTGCAGCAGCTCGTGCTTCACGACCCTGGTGGCCATGGCCTTCTGATTTCGCAGAGCGCCCGCGAGGGTCGCTCCTGGGGGCAGCACGTCGCTCTGCCGGCGCTCGGGCAGCCGATCCCGCAGAGCCGCAGCGGTGGTGGCGGGGCCGCAGGCCGGGCCGCCGCGCTGTTCGGCGGCTGCCAGCCTCGGACATTCCGACGCCGTGATCGCAACTCACACGACAACACAAAAACACGCGCGGCCCCAGAGGGGTCTCGACCGCTTCCCGGAGACCGGATGCTCCTCCGGGGCCGTCTTGTTGACGGCCTCGGGGGCCCCGCAAGGCCCACTGGAAGCGGAAAGCTGGCAAAAACCTTCTGCAACGATGTTCTCACGACGCGGGGAAGTCAAGGGCCGCGGGCAGACCGGCTCGGAGGGGGCATCGGTGGAGCAGGGCGGTCGGTCGAGTGGCCATTGGTGGGTCTGTCTGCTGATCTTGCCCAGCGGGGGCGGAGGCACCAGTGGCACCCCGCAGCCCAATGAGTAGAGGCTGACAACGACGGAGGGGAGCAAGGAGACGGAGGAGGACGGACGAGGAGAGATCTCCTCGAAATCTGCTGTGAAGAAACGCTGGGCCACCACGAAACGGGGAAGACACCTTGATGACCAGCGAAGCTGCACGCTCGGGTCACAGGGCTCGGGTCTCACTGTAGATGAAGAAGGCCGATGCCAGCTCCATAAACAGAGCATCGGAAGCTGGGCTGCGCCTCCTGCGCTTGTCTTCAAGCCTCGGCGAAAGACTTCGAGATTCGCGGCTTTAGATACCCAGCGAATTCACACGTCAGGCGAGTCCCCTGTTGGCTCCAGAGGTATCTGAAGGCCCCTGCGAGTTCACAGACACCTCCGAAGGCCCCTGGAAGCCTCCAGAGGCTCAGAACGTGCTCCTCGAGGATCGAAGAGCGAGGAAGGAGGAAAACAGAGAACGACGATGACGACGACAACGACGACGACGACAACAACGTCGACGACGACGACGACGACGAGCAGCGAGCAGCACCGCCTTGTCTCGGAGGGTGCCGTCGAGACCCTTGGCCTCGCGCGAGGCGGGAGCGAGCGGGTCCACGCCGGCGGCCAGCATCGCCAGCACCATCTCGTGGGGCAAGCCGAGGTCCAGGATGAAGAACTCAGCACCTCCACTGCGTGCAGATACGATGACGGCGACGACAACGACGACGACGACGACAACGACGATAATGACGGCGTCGACCACGGTGGTGACGTCGGCGACGAGGGCGACTGCGACGGCGACGAGGACGGCGACGGCGGCGACGTCTGCGGCGACGGCGGCGGCCAGACCTCCGACCTCGTGACACTGCTCGATCCTGGGGCTTCTTTGGCAGCTTGGGCCAGGGACGCCCGCTATCGGGACCTGGGCCTTCAAGAGAACAACCCAAGATGGAACGAGTCCCGGAGAAGTGGTCGAGAACTCCAAGGGGCCCACGCCACAAGCCGTGGCGTCGGAGATCGGGGATATCCTCGCGTCGAGGAGTCAGCGCGAGCATGTTCTCACTTGGGCACAATCGCGCGCGCGCTTCGCTCGCGCTCAGGTTCTTCCTGTCTTGACGCCTACTGCATAGAGCGGAAGAGAGACCCGTGCCCAAATAAACAGGAACCTCGGCGAGCTGGCTGTCGAGTTCCTTGGGGTGCTGCTTCTCGCACTCGACTTGCTCCGCGATCTGGGACTTCTGCTTCTCCAGGTCGCCGAGCTTGTGGGTGCGCTTGCCTGTCTGCTGCTACAGCTTGCTCTTCGCCGTCTGAAGGGAGCCCAGCGTCGGGGGCTCCGGTTTCTCCTCGTACTCGGCAGCCATCTTCCTGAACACCTCGGCGATGTCCTTGACTGCGTCGCCTCCTCCGAATTTGTCCCTGAGCTCGTTGAAGGAAAGCTGTATGCTTGCCCGACGTCGCCTCGCGCTTGAGGTCTGCGAGGAGTTCCCGACGCTTCTCGATCTCTTGGGCCTGCTGCCCGAAGCGCCTGAGATCCCATGAAGCTCGCTGTGTGACCGACGTAGCCGACGGCGCCCATGCTCTCCTGGGTAGCGAAGGGGCCCCACCACGACCGAGCCCCGCGTGCTTGTGGTTCGTCCGAGATGCGCGTTCCACCTTGGAGGAACACTTCTGGTCGAACTCGCGGCACCTGAGCCTCGAAGCCCAGTTGCTGATGAAGCCACAGCGGCACGGCCAGTGCGGGGTCCGCGGTCCGCGTAGAACATCGAGCTCTGCTTCTGGCGGTGGCGGCACTATGCTTCTGGATATGGAGAGCCAGGGCAAGCCCTGGACCTGGAAACACGAAGAAGAACTAGCCGCGGACCAGCGGCATCCGTAGAAACACCCGGAAGAGGCACGTCTTGAGCCAAAATGGCGACCGGGAGGAGGGTAGAGTAGAACGGAGTAGAACAAAGTGGAGTCGGGAAAATGGCAGAGCCGAGACGGATATGACAGAGTCGAGTACAATTGGCTAGAACAGTAGAGAAGAGTCGAGTCCACCCCAGTCCAATCCAGTCTAGTCTACTTCAATCCATTCCAGGCCACGTCATGTAAATCTTCTGTTGTATTTGGAGTCTGCGCTGGCTGATATCAGAATGGGGTTCTGGCCTTAGCTCCGCGCAGATTCGTCGTAACAGGTTGCGAAAGTTCCCCAGGATGGATCACCAGTCGTATTCAAAATTGAGTTCCCGCCTTGGCGCCGTGAGCATTCGTCTGTAAAGTTCACACCAGCTTCGAGGATAGAAGGCGGCTCCTTTTGAAAATGGGGCTCTCGCCTCCACGCCACGCACATTCGTCTTAGACGGATGCAAATGCTTCTAGAGTGAAGGGCGGCTCCTTTCCAAAAACGGACATTCGCTTGAGCCTCCTTCACGCCCCAACACCAGAAACTCGAGCATATGCAACAACTGCAGGGACAGACGGCGGCTCCTTCTGACAACTGGGCTCTCGCTTGAGACCTCCTCGACGTGCATGGCCATAAGTGCAAGCGCGTGCAAGAGCTACTCAGATGGGGCGGCCCTTCTTTTTGAGCGGGGAGCTCGCTGGACACCTCGCTGAAACTATGACCATACCTTTGCGATGTCCTTCTTTCTCCCCGGAGGATTGCAAAGCAGCTCCACTTCAGAAAGGGGCTCTCGCTCGAACGGCAGGCCAACGGGGTGCTGCTCCAGGCTGGCGCTTCTTGTACTGAAAACGACGGCTGGCAGGGACTCATGAGAAGGGGACGTTAAACGGAAGGGCGTGTTGCAGCATCATTTACGAATCTTGGGTTTACTCTGGTCCTCATCCTCCTCTTCCGCCTCCTCCAACTTCTCGTCAACTTCCTCTTCCTCCTCCTTCTGCTCACCCTCGCTTCCAATCCCCATTCGGAGGCTTTGCACACTCCGCTGGTCCCTACTAGTGGCGGCGTCGTTTCCCTCTTGGGGCTGCCCAAGACGGGCCCAAGAGGGCCCGACTCGGATCCTAGATGGGTATAATGGCTTCCAGGGCGAAAGCGACTCGAGATGGCTCCCAAGTGGGCCCAACAGGCCACAAGACGGCCCTGCAGAGTGCACTGGAGGGCCTCAAGGCAGCCCAAAAGCACCACAACCCGTGCTCGGGACCGCCGACGACGCCGCACCAAGACGGGTCCAGGACGGGCACGAACGAGACCACCCCAACACCTCCAAAGCGACATACTCGAACACTCCCCGAGACCCCAGACGGCCACGCGGCCTTTCGACGCAGCCCGCCGACTGGTCATCATCAGGCAAACGACAAGGGGCACTGCATTCTCCCACTGCTGCCGGCACGCGCTAGGCCCAGTACTCCTCCACTTGACGTCCAGCTCGAGGCCCCTGCCGTGCCGAAGAGAGATCTTCTCCTGGAGCACCGAGTGCGCCTGCTTCAGCTTGCGGCCTCCGGCGGAGCAAAGCCACGAGACCCTCAACGCCGCGGAAGAAACGGGACCGCTTCTCGCGCCGAAGGCAGGTGGCTCGGGGCATGGGACTGGGTGGGGGGTCCCCGTTCTCCCTCCAAAAGGAGGAGTGCGGAGAAACGAAGTGGGGATGAGAACGAGGGCAGAGGGACGGGACTCGGAGGAGAGAGGAGGAGAGAGGAGGAGGAGGAGGAGGAGGAGGAGGAGGAGGACGACGACGACGACGAAAGAGGAGGGAGGGAGAGAGGAGGGAGGAGGGACGAAGCGAGAAAGAGGAGGTTCCTCCAGGGGACCCGCGTCACAGAGAAGGGGGACCCCAGCTGGGACTGGCAGAACTGGTCGGGGGTGACACCGCCTGTTCGGGCTCGTCTCACGCATGCCCAAGTGTTCAAGCCAGGTAGCAGATAGTTGAAGGTAGGTCGTTTTTTTGGGGGGGGAACAGGAGAACTGAGGGGAATGATGGGCGACGAATACCAGCAGTGACGGAAAGCTGCGATTAAACCTGCCAAGCGTCTAACTAATACAATTGCAGCCCCAAGGTGAAGACGAGGCGGAGGAGACGAGAGCAGCCAAAGGCCCCGTGTATGCATCAATCCCCAGGTGGTCCCGACGACCACTTATAGAATGAGGCCTCACACAACCATTAAACCAGGGAAGGCGTGCAGCGCAAAATGAATTGAAGCCCTTGTGGCGACGTGACCAACAGGAAGCACCCCCATAATCACATCAAGACAGGGGCGGAAGCGGGAGGAGGAAGGAGGAGAACGAACGCGAAGGGAGGGGAGGAAGCGAGACAAGACTGGGATAAACCATTACCATGCTGAGCACCATTACCATTACTGCGAGCACTCGCCAACAAGTTGGAACTGAAAGCGGTGACAAACATGGTGCAAAAAGGTGCCGCCCAGCCCTGGCACCCTTTCGCGCGGTGGGCACGCAGGCCATGAAACGGCAAGCAGGGCGAGCACTGAGCACCGGAGCCCTGAGGTCGGCCGGTCGCGGTCGCAGGGCCGACGGCGTGCGCCGCGCACGCATGCAATCGGCGGAAGCCGCCAAGAAGGGGGACGGAAGGGGGGGGGAAGCGGCCGACGGAGGGGAGGAGGGAGAGGAGGAGAATCGCACGGCGGCAAAACACTATATGCCTTGCGAGAGTGGCCGAATCAGACCTGCAATGAATCGATGGGCTGCCGTCCCCCAAAACGGGCGACGCGACGGCGTCCACCCTCGGGCAGCGGCCGAGTTCGGGACAGACCCCCTCCCACGGTCCATCGGCCACGCGGCCGGGACAGCTACAGACCCGCCAGCCTGGACTGACTAAGTGGCCACCCGGGGGGGAGGGAGGAGGAGAGCAAGAGAGAAAACGCCATTTACCTCGGCCAGCCTTGACACCCAGGACGTGTGCCAGCCGCGCAGACGCCAGCAACATCCATCGCTTCAGCCGCCGCGCAGCCATTGTGACAAACGCAGGCGCCCCCCCCGCGGGGGGCCACGAGCCCGAGGAAGAGCAAGAAACCGCCCCACGCCGACGACGACGGCGACGGGACGACCACGACGACGACGACGACGACGACGACGACGACGACGACGAAGAAGGGTTGGTAGGTTCATACGAACAGGTGGACATAACGGTTGACAAAGAGGAGGGAAGATAGAGAGGGAGAGATAGAGAGAGAAGAGAGATATGAGACATAACAAAACAAAAAAAAAAAAAAAAAAAAAAAAAAAAAAAAAAAAAAAAAAAAAAAAAAAAAAAAAAAAAAACGAGAGAGAGAGAGAGGAAAGAAGAAGAAGAGAGAGAGAGAGAGGAAAAGAAAAACACAAAAAAAAAGTGGCGCACAGAGTGGTCCCGTCTGAATGCTGTGCGAAGCACCACAGCGAGCTGGGGGAAAAGGGAAAGACCCTAGACCTGGATTATACCGAGGGTCGGTATGGAACGCAGCTGGCTTAGGCCTTGGATCCATTGGGGTCCACACGAGATGCCCCAAAAATCTCGCCAATCCCTGGCACGCGCCTACATGAATTCCTCGTGAGTCTGGTGTACATGTGGGGCCCGCGTGGGAAGCAAGTCAGACCAATATGACATACACTGGATATTTGCCTCGAGATCTGCGTCTACTTTGCATCCATCTGGGAGCCACTTGGGACTGGGCTTTCACTGGGGTCCGGCACGGGGTCGTCAAGATCGGTGAATGACCGCTCCAATGTTTTCCGCCAAGAAGTTCTCCGTCCAAGGAGCTGGGCACTGCGTCTGTCCAATCAGGCGCCATGCGGCGCACGAAATGTGAAGGGTTCCCCGCACCGCTCGATGCGGTCCGCCCCTACACGCCCGCGCGGCCGAACTCAGCCTCGCCAGGCGCACGGTGTATGCGCGCAGCGGAGACAACGAGGTCCTCGTCACCACCGCCACCACCACAATCATCGCCAGGATGCCGCGTGACGGAGGCGGCCCAGCAGCCCGCGCAAGGTGCCCGGGTGGCCGCGGGGCGCGGCGGTGCCCTGGGAAGCCGAGGCCGGAGCGGGCGCGAAGCCGACGGCGGCTCCCTCGCTGGCCAAATCGGCGGCGGCGCTGGCGGCGCCCAGGGCGGGCGCGGAGCCGCTGGCGGAGTCCGCGGGGCTCTCCAGGGAGGACGCGGAGTCGCCAGCGGAGCTCGCAACGTCGAGGTCGCGGAGGCGCGGCGCGCGCGCGTGCTCGTTGAGGCCGACGGGCCGCTGCGGGCTTCCGCCACCTGCTGCTGCGCGCTGCTGCTCTGACTCGCGGTAGCGGCGCTCGAAAGCCACGGCGTCGGCCTGCTCCTCTCTGGCCACCGCCTCCTCCTCCTCCTCTGCCTTCCGTCTCCGCCTCTCCTCGACCGTGATCCCAGTATCCTCTGCCGCGGTCTGTGCCAAGTCGTTCTCCGCGGCATCGGCCATCCCCGGAACCAAGCAGGGGCCAGTCTCGTTCAGCGCCTTCCCCAGGCGGGCGCTGAGATGCGCCTGGCTCTTCTTCATGTCGCAGAAGTACATGGACCAGAAGCCGCAACACCCGCGGTTGGTGTGAATGCAGGCATCGCTCCCGTTCAAGGCGCGTACCCTCTCCAAGTTCCACACGCTCTGTCTGGTGGGCTTCGGTGCACCAGTGAAGTGGGCGATAACGGTGTCGTTGCCGCAGGATAGGGGGCAGCGCCAGTCCACGGAGTAGTCGATGCAGTTGTACTTCTTGTCCAGAGTGACGATGTTGTCCTTGTACTCCAGGTTGATGACAGTCTGGTCCAGGACCTCACGGCCGCCGCTGTGCAAGGCAATCTCAGACATCAGGCGCGTAAAGGCGCCGAGGTCTGGACGGAACAGCAGCATACCGCTGTTATGCTCGGGTTTGCAGCCGTCGGGCGTCATGGCGATCTGGTTCGGGCCAAGCTCCACGTCCAGTATATTGCGGATCTCGCTGCTGAGGACGTACGTGTCCGAATCCAGGAAGAGCACACGCTCAAAGGGAAAGCGCCACACGTTGAGCTTCTCGAAGCTGTCGCCCCAGCGCCCCAAGAAGCCCGAGCCACAGTCCGCGCCACAGTGGTCCTTGCCCCAGTCCTCCACCTCGACCAGGTGCCAGCCCACTTCCCTCAGCTGCGTTGTGTACTTGTGGTCCATCCCTTTGATCACGATGGCGAAGCGCGGAACCTCGGGCAAATACCTCTGCAGCGTCAGCGCCAGCATGGTTGCGCTGTCGATGTAGTCCAGGAAGTCGCGCCCGGCGTGGGTGACGACTGCCGTTGTGTTAGTCGGGCCGTCGTAGCCAGTTCCGTCTAAGGACACGACCTGCGCCTGGGGGAACAAAAAGACACCCATACCGTTACTCCGCAGACCTATCACAGGGCGCGTACTGACCAGGACTCCGACGCGGATCCGTCCGCGGCGGCGAGGGCCTCCCGAGAGGCCCAACAAGGCGAAGACGAGGGAAGGACATCCGTATCGGCATGCAGGATGGATAAGTCAGCATCGAATATGGAAACCAGATCGTATCGGAGTGTGCGTCGAATCGGGCTGCATCGGCACGGGGCCGGAATCGAATCGGATCAGCCGCGCCAGGACGCCAGGACGCACAGCGGCGCCACGCGACCATCGAGCCACACTGGATCGTGGGGAACATCGGGATCGAATCGGATCGGGCTGGGCGAGGTCGATATCGAGATCGGATCGGCATGGACCCCGGCATGCCTTTCCTCCCCCGAGCCTGGCTTTGGACCCAGCGGAGGATGCGCAGCTGCTCGGAGCTCATCGCGACGAGCTCGTGCCTCTCCGCCCGCCGGGCCAGGTTCGTCACCTCCGGCTCCGAGCCGTCGAGCGGACGCCAGGCCTTCATGCCCGTGGCGCCTCGGGCCGCCAGGGCGGCCGCGAGAGCGGCGAGGAGGGCCCGGCGAGCCATCTCGGCGCCCAGCCAGCACCCCGCGGAGGCGCTCAGACTGTGTGCATATGCGGGCGGCGCGCCAGGGAAGGGGGGGCGCGCGAGGCCTGGGAGGAGGACAAGTCCGCCGACCCCTTGGGGCTCATCGGCGCGTGAGATGCTGCCCCCTCCCCAAAACCCCTCCACCGGGAGCCCGGTCAGGTCGATTTGGCGGGGGGGGGGTCTGCCCGGGCCCGGCCGGGCGGGGCACTTTGCTCCAGGACTCCTGCCGGGGGGGGCAGCGAGGGCCCCAGAGAGAGGGGGGGGGGGCTCGAGGAAGGACTTCCGGACGTCCCTGGCCTGTCGCTGGGCGCCCCCGGGCGCGACCGCGGCTGGGCGCGGCTCGAGGAAGAGAGCCAGGGCGGGCCCCAGGAGCGGTCCGGGGAGCGGTTCGGGGCGGAGTGGGCTCTCGAGGGCGGGGCGAGGGGGGCGGCCTCGGTAGAAAAGTGCACGGGGGCTTCTCGGAGGGGGCCCGGGGGCTTCTCAGATGGCGGCGGTACGTCTAGAGACTCACATGAGCTTGTTTGAAAGCCCCCTCCCCCTCTCTCGCCTCATCCCCTCTTTGCACGCGCCGCCAAATGTGGAGGGGGGCTCGTGGGGGTACGGTGCGGAAAGCGCTTGATCCCGAATGGCTGCGGTCCTCAAGTTCTTCCTCCGCCTCCTCCTCCTCCTCCTTCTCCACCTCCTCCTCCGCCTCCTCCTCATCATCAGCAGCAGCATCAGCATCAGCATCAGCATCAGCATCAGCATCAGCACCATCACCATCACCATCACCATCATCACCATCACCATGACCATCAAAATCACCATCACCATCACCATCATCATCATCATCATCATCATCATCATCATCATCATCATCATCATCATCACCATCATCATCATCATCATCATCATCATCGTCATCATCATCATCATCATCACCATCACCATCACCATCACCATCACCATCATCCATCATCATCGCCATCATCATCATCATCATCATCATCATCATCATCATCATCATCATCATCATCATCATCATCATCATCATCATCATCATCATCATCGTCATCCTTGCTATCTCGCTTTAAAATGAAACTCCCGCTGCAGCGTGGGCCTCATTTTCGGATCGGCTGTGCTCCCGTCGTTCAGAATGGCGCTCTCGCCCCAGCGCGGGCCACGTTTCTGGACTCGAGACCGTTCTCATCGTCGTCGCCCCCCTTATTCCCCCTCCTCCGCCTTCCCCTGGTCATCCTGCTCCTCCAACTCCTTCCACTCCAGTTCCTGCTGCTGCTGTTCGTCCTCGTCCTACTCCTTCCTCATCATCCTCCTTTCCCTCCTGCTCCTCCTGCTCCTCCTGCTCCTCCTGCTCCTGCTCCTCCTCCTCCTCCTCCTCCTCCTCCTCCTTCTCCTCCTCCTCCTGCTCCTCCTCCTCCTCCTCCCATTCTGCCCCCACCCACACCCAGCTCCTCCCCCGATCACCCTCTCCCATTTGCCCCCCCTGCTCTGCGCCGAGGGAGCTATGTGGCCTGAGCACCAGTCTGCATGCTTTTGCACGGTTCAGCTCCGTGGTGCGCGTCGTCTCTCCACCCCGGCGTCGACCGACCTCCCTCCGCGCTTCCTCATCCCGTCTGGCCCGCTCGCCCCCTGTGCGATGGACGACGGGTCAGGCACTGCACTGTCCGATTCGACGCCCGTTTCGGCAAATTGAGGAATCACCAAACGCAATGTAAAGGTGCCAGAGGAATGGGTAAGATATCAGGTGTGGCGCGAGCGCACTTCATAACTCATCTCTCCTCCCTCGACTATCGAATATCCCCCTCTCCCTTTCACTGTCCCGGGCGCCGAAGACCTGTTCAATCTAAGAAAGTCTCTGGAGGCCTCCAGAGAAAGCCACCAAAAAATTAGCCTGGCGAAGAACCCAACCATATGCGCTTATTGGTACCGCAATTGTAGGTATCGTCTTCCGTTGAGCCCCCGATGGGCCACGAAACGCTGTACTGGATGCCAAAATAGGGCGGCGCCGCCATGCGGATTGCGCCATTGGAACCTGCGCCACTCAGACCTTAGGTGGTGCTCCCTATGGGGCCACGAAACGTGTGAAGGGTGTGCCAAAACAGGGCGGCGCCGCCATGCGGACTACGCCACTGGGACCTTCGGTGGAGCTCCGGATGGGGCCACGTAGCGTGTGAGGGGTGTGCCAAGATGGGACGGCGCCGCCATGCGGACTGTGCCACTAGGACCTTAGGTGGAGTTCCCTATGGGTCCACGAAACTTGTGAGGTGTGCGCCGAAATGGGGCGGCGCCGCCATGCGGACTGCGCCAGTGGGACCTGAGGTGAAGCTCCCTATGGGGCCACGTAACATGTGAAGGGTGTGCCAAGTTGGGACGGCGCCGCCATGCGGACTGTGCCACTGGGACCTTAGGTGGAGCTCCCTATGGGTC